ACAATGGCTAATAAGCCATAAATGGGCGTTCCAGTCTCTCTTGCCTTTGCTGGCAATACTATCTGCTTATACTATTTTAGGATTATCAGTAACTGCGTCTGAGCCCACTTATGGTCGTCTGGACACTTTCAGGTCATTGGAGCGAGACAGGCGAGGGAAGAGAGAGAGAGAGGCGAAGGCTGCCCAATTCTGACTTGCTAAAAAACAGTTCACACCACCCAGGCTCTACTCCGTCTGGTACACGGTGGACGCTGTCGATCTCGAAGGTTAAACTCTAATTGCACTCTACTCAACGGCATATCCAATTTAGTCGTGAGTGGTCAGTAGGTACATGACACACCTGACAGATATTAAGCTTCCGATTAGTCACGATGTTCACACCCATCACAGGTTTTATCGGCCTTGTATTTTCCTGTATGTAAGAAATTAGAGACAGGTAAATGCTGCGCAAGTCTTTCTCATCAAGATCAACCAAATCACACCAAAGTCATTACTACTAGCCTGAGACAGCGGCGATTCTCTTTATTTCAGACGAACGATTAAGTTGTCCGAAAAATGTTCGTGTTCGACATTTTTAATAAGACCAGCATGTTTAGAATGCGCGGTCGTTTATTTTGCGTCTCGTAACATTCACTACAAAAAAGCCTCCGATGGCCTGAATGGGGCTAAAAGGAGCCACATTTTACCTAAAAATTAACCTTAGTACAAGCCACATTAATATTAAAAGTTAGTAGGTAAATCTTCTGTTCGTTTTTAAATTTCTGTATTCGTCTGATCCTGAAACTTCCTCCTAGGAAGGAGAGTATGGCGGCTAGACATACATCATTACAGCACTTAAAATAGTTTTATGCCACAAAGCACATGGGAAGTGCTTCGGTGATCCTTTGATGAGCCGAATTCCTCGTAATTGCGTCACGCAATGGCATCAAATCGGCCAAACATGGAGGACTGAGCTTTTAACCAGTAATGGTTTTGCTATTATGTGAACTAATTCAGTACTTGTTTACATAACTCACATAGGGTCATACCGAAACCCGCTTCGGAGCAAACAGAAAGATTTTTGCTCTGTCACGCATGTCTC